CATTTTTTTCTATTTGAGGGGTGTTGTGGTAAAAAGGTCCTCTAGATATCTTGGACTCCCTTTGGAGATTGGTGCATAAAAAATGGATGCTTTCTCCTTTGTGGAGGAATCAGTAAGGGCCATAATAGAGAGTTGGAAAATTAATTTTCTATCAATTGCTGAGAAAGAAATATTGATCAAATCTGTACTGCAGGCTGTACCAATTTTTGTTATGTCTTTCTTTCTGATCCATGTTGGGTTGTGTAAGAATATTTGCAGGCTAGTGGCCAAATTCTGGTGGAATAAAAGGAGTTCTCAAGATCACTGCCTTCACTGGAAATCTTGGGATAAAATGGCCAGGACAAAAGCTGATGGGGGACTGGGTTTCTTGGATATTAAAACCTTGAACAGAGCTCTAATTCTGAAACAGCTTTGGAGAATCATTGATCAACATGAGTCTCTGGTCATCAAAGTCTTGAAAAGCAAGTATTTCCATGATTGTAGTATTTTTAACTAGAGATCTTCTAATAGTGATTCATGGTTGTGGAAGTCATGGGCCTCAATTCTTCCTGTGCTGAAAGATCACTTAAATATTATTGTCAGAAATGGTGCTGGCACAAAGTTGTCTGACTATAATTGGGTCCCTGGTCTTGTTGGTGGTAAACCCTCTCTTAGAATTCATATTGATGGGCATATGTTTTGGGTGAAAGACTTGTTGATTGCAGGTGGTTGTAGCTGCGATGAAAATCTTGTTAAAGCTCTGTTCAATGAAGTTGATGCCTCTAGAATATTGGAAATCCATACTTTGAACCCAGAATTGGTTGATCTTTGGAAGTGTCCTTTTGTTGATAAAGGGAAGTTCTCTGTCAAACTTTCTGTCTGTTGGCAATGTGTGTTCATCTGAGGTGGCTGGATGTAGTTCTTTGGCTGGGGTAACAAAAAAGCCTGACTAAGATGCTGGAACCTGAAGGTGCTAAGTAAGGTAAAACATTTTATATGGCAGTGTTTTACTAACATCTTGCCTGTAAATGTGAACCTGAAATCCAAGGGGTCTAGACATTGATATCCAGTGCAAAGTGTGTGGTGAGGCTGCAGAGACCCTGGAACATGTATTGTTTCAATGTGACAGAGCAGTAAAACTGTAGAAAATTTCCCTTGTGCAATGGAACAGAATCATCCAAGAGCAGCTGAGTTTCAAGCAGTGGTGGTGGTGGTGGATTAGTTCAATGATTGCAAAGACATATCTGAAGCCAGAATCCAACTTTCCACTTATATATTATGGTGGCTCTGGAAAGCTAGGAACATCTGGGTTTTTGAGGGTCAAATGCAACCAGAGGTGTGGATTGTGAAGACAACTATGAGAGATTGGCTGGACTTTGCAAATTCTGACTCCAGTTTTCATTAGAGAATGATTGAAGATGTGCTAGGCTTTCTGCAGTGGTCTATCTTTGGTTTTTTTTGGGATTTTTCCCTTTGTACATTCCCATTTTTATGGTTTTTGATATGAGATATATTATGCCGTTGAAAAAAAAAAGTAAAGTCCTATGTTGAATAGTGCAAAATATTTATCGTTCATTTTTGTTATATCATTTTATTTTTCGATATTTGAGATTTAAATAAAGACTAAAAAGTTCATATCTAAAGGTTAGAATTAAGTTGTAGTTAAATAAAAATAATAATTAAAATGCATATACTTAAAATTATACTATGACTTACCTCATTATATTTTTGTTTTTGTTTTTATTTTTTAGTATATTCGATTTATTATTAATATTTATATTATGATGATATTTATATTAAATGTTTGTGAGAATAATCCTTTGATGTTATTTTTTAAATCATTCAAATACTATGATATGTTTGTAATCAACCGTCCAATTTTATTATATGCAAATATATTTGTAATATTTCTATAAAAAAATAAACCCAAATAGCTTACGCAACACGCTACACTATTTACGCTACGCAGTATAAAGACCAAAACGCGACGCATTATTCTATACGCGTTTTAAAACATTGATTGTAGCACAAGGATGATTTAGATATACACAAATTCATTATCATAATTTTTTTGATTAAACGTGACAATTTTTTTGTTAAATTTTTTATATTAATCATGGTAACAATATTTTAAATGGGAATGTTACAATAAAAAGGAAAAATACAAAATTTAATCTTTAATGAAAAATTAATTTACAATTTGTTATATACATATAAACAAATTGCATATTTCAACGCAAAAATATTATTTTTTTATCATATAGTTATGTTGTATATACAACTTTAATATTAACTTTAAAAAAAAAAAGAAATATATGTAAAGATTTCATTTTAAAGTAATATTAAGAAATTAATCAAATTGGACATAAAGTGAACACATATTATTCAGACAAATAATGTAATCAAATTAGACACATATTATTTACATGTAATATTTTGTATTTTAAACATGTTATATATATA